AATATTGCTTAATTAATTCAGCGCATGATCACCGTGTGGGATGGATTGTCTTGGTTCCAGGAACAAGATATGCTTAATGCTAAACTTAGGTATTCTGTGCAATAAATGGTGGGCAATTCGCTATGTCATTTTAAATGCGGATATGGTGGTGGATTTTAATTGGACTGTCTGCTTAGCCAGAAAATATCTCATCTAAATTGTTTCACGCAGGTTTTGAAGTGGATTGGGCAGTGTGAGGTGATTCTCTACCAGACGGCCGTGATTCCGACGAGCCTAGCGGAGGCTGAAGCGATGCAAACAGATCACGACAAATTCCAGCCCGTTCTGAATGATGCGCACCCTGAGGCGGTGCAATGCGCTGCTCGGGCCTCTTACCTCCTCCAGTCTGTTGCAGCTGATCATCCGCGCCGTGCTGATTTCCAGGCTGTTGCAGAAAGCGTCGCTGAGCGATGGCAGAAACTTGTCTACGCCGCTGAGGAGAAACATAAGCTCCTCATCGCCGCCACTAACTGGTACTTCCTTTTCCTCGTCACTTCTGATCGCTACCGAAAGCATTGACTGCCCCTGAATGCCCCTTGTTGCCTGTGGTGTATTTCCAGCCTCTAGGACACACCTCGCAATTCCTTATTGCCATGGGCAGCTTTTATCATCGACTTGATTAAGGCCATTAGCAAAAGATGCAGACTCTTAAACGCATGCTTAATTTTGGACATTTGCACTCCAGAATGAGGTTTAGAAGTCGCTTGATTTGCATGACTACGGCTATCCACCAGCTAAGTGGGATCTAGTTTTCTTCTACTTTGGCATTTTAAATTAAAAGGGGCGACCATCTATCTTTTTGTTCTAATGCTATGAGTATATTATTTGCGAATATTTCTATAGCCTGTGAAACTAAAATGATAAAATTCGGCTTCTTCGATGTTCATATGACCCATACTCATCCATGTAGATACTTATGGACTGCGCTACTCTGGTAGCTGCGTTATCTTGACTATTGAGCCTGTCGACGTCATTGCTTACACTGAAATTTTTCCCTTCTCTGGTGTCTTGTGCAATAATGCTTTAATTGGTGAGCTTTTAAATTTGTGGTTATTTCCGCACCACCATTGCCTCGCAACCTGGACTGACTTTCCTACAGCCTGCAAACGAACATCGAATAAAAAGCTTTTTTGTCAAATCACTTTTTACATTTAAAGAAACTGTTGTTAAGGAACGTCATCAATTATTTGGTGAGATTTGGTTCAGCATTTTTAATTTTCAAATAAAGTCCCAGGAAGTCCTATCCCGATGTATGTGGAAGACCATTCTTGATGTACTCTACTGTTCAGGTACAAGACCTCCGAGCAGGTGATATCAGTGCTGCGCTCGTTGGAAAAGGATTACCGAAGGGAGGAAGATTGGTGCCGCTCGGACAAGGCACTTAACAGTGGAAATGTCGAGTCTTATCTTAATGATCTTCTCAATAAACATGGCGAGCAGAAGGAGGCCTTTCTGAAGGCGTGCATTCTTGCCAGGTTCGTAGCTATGTTGGTTCCCCATCCTCATCTCGAAATCACTTTGGGATATCGATGTCTATCAACTTCGCTTATGTGTTACGAAAGGTCGGAAACAGACGTATTTAACCCACTTATATTCACGGGGTGATGAATTGCCTTAATTGAATTCTGACGATGAGCTTTTGAACTCCTTCATGTAGTTCGCATTTAAGACGTCAAACCTGGTAATTACAAGCTTGGCAGGGTGGTTCACAATTTTCATATATTTGGTTTCGTAAAGCATTCGATTAGTAGGCACTCTTCTTATGAGTTATCATCGCCTACCTATTTTTCGTCCACTACCTCCTCTAAGACCAATTGCTAGGCTGACTTATACCAAAGCATTCTTAGCTGGTGCTGTGATATTAGTCTCGGTATCTCCACTAATTTTATGGTGTAGTGTGAAGTCGCATACGTTGGAGACAAGGCCAGAGAAAAAGACCAGCATTGGAGATAGCGACGCTGGGGTTAGTCATGTTCGTGCACTTATGTCTTCAATAAATTTTAACTGGCCGGACTCCCATGTCTATGATGTGTTTAGCTGGGTCGAACTACAATTTGCTGCATTTTTTTTACGTTCGATGTTATTTTGGGAATTATGTCTATTTCTTAGGCGAACCTCAGAGTTGTTTATGAAGTATCTGCACCGACAGCCCCCCACGACGGCTTGTCGGATCAAAGTGGAGGAGCGGATTCGCAGTGACATGGCTGACCTCATGGCCAAGGAACAGGCTGTGCTTGAGGCCTGGGCTGCCCAACGTCGTCGTTTTGAGGAGTGTGTCAAATTCGTGACCATTGAGGTGCGTTACACCCCCCCCTCCTGGCTTTGATTTACACTAACTTCTTAACTGCTGGTGCTTTAATTCTGAAGTTTATTTTATTCGGCGATAGAAAGCGTGGCAAATTGCTAACTTGCTAAAGAGTAATTTAAACTTGAGGCACAGCATATATTACCTCTGCGTCTGATTTATCACTGTCTCGTGAGCTATTATCCAGCGCTTTAAAGGCCACACTATGCAGTGATTTAGTCGATTTATTGGCATTAAGTCCTTTGTGTGCTAACAGTTTTTGTAGATTGATCTCCTCTTCCTTTATGCTTTGCAGTTTCATTTCTTGTGACAGCTTCCAGTTCTTATCAGCAGCTCTGAAGTGCTTTCTTGACGCATTAGTCTCCAAAACGACAGTGGTTTTGGTGGTGATAGCGAAGCTGCTGGCTAAGGTATATCTCGCGTATTGTTAAATAAAAAAGGCCATATGAAATAATCCACTTTGTGGCTTGCTAGATCCACTATTTGTGGGATTCCCCTCATTTTTTCTGGCGATGAAGGGAATGAACCTTTTTAGTGGTTTGGCTTCTACTCATCCAGCGGTTTGCACCTGGACCTTCTTATGGGAAGAAATGAAGCAGTGCATCGCACATCGCTTTCAGTTTGCGGACACAAGTCTAGCTCTGCCAATTTACTGGGATTAGTGATTCGGGATTTAATAAATTTGCCTCCACAACTAAATTCTACACTTCATTTTGCACATAATAAGTACATTCGCGGAAAATGTACGTAGTAAAGCGGTAAAACTAGACCCACTCAATTGTGCCTCAAAAGTGGTGTTTTCTGGACTGACTCCTCATCGATCGATATGTCATCCCTTTCCATTTTTCTTCGTCCAAAACCATGTCATTACTTCACAATGTGCAGATATCCCTAAATGGACATTGTTATTATTGTGATGTTCTTTTGGTACTACTTGTACTGTATCCATTGTGGGGAGTTATTAATCACTGTTATGGTTTTGCAACAGGTTTTGAGCTTCATGCAGTCTGAAACATTTTATATTTTCCGTTTAAATGCTATTACTTGTCCTAGGCGCAAAATATAGTGTTAACGTACTGTTTCCTTCGCTCCAGGCTGAGATGGTTGATCTTGCACGCCGCATCTTGCAATTTGTGGGTAGTCCTTTGAAATCGGCTGAGGATCCAAAAATCCCATTGCCCCTTGTACCACGCCAATCGTCTCTCTTCGCCACAGTGAAGTGCGCTTGCCAATCCATCAAGGCCCTACTTGAGGCTGGAGTGGGTCCCCATCACTCCGACAGCCTTCTTAAGACTTATCAGCGCTTTAATACCTGCATCACTCCTGTAGAGACACCTCGACCAACTGAGAATGATTCTGGCTGTGCTGCCGCCGCCAAGATGCGTTCGGCCGGCGCCGGTTCCAACAGGTTTGTATCATTTCACCACATTTTGTTTTTTTTATATCCCTTTCTCTGCATATCTGGCGTAGAGGAGGTCGGATTAAGGATTATCTGAGCATATGCACATACAATTGGTTGTTTAGAACCTCCGTATCAAGTACTGGAAGCTCAGGAGTGACATCAGGTGACACAACACCAAGCATTACCGCCACGGTCGGTTTGACGGAAGAGCAGCGGAAACTCATCAGCCGGCGTCAAAACATCCTCCGCGAACTGGTAACCACAGAAAGAGCCTATGTTTTGGCTCTTCGCACTTGCCTCGAGACCTTCTACGTCGGTACTATGAATCCGCCTGTAGATATTCCGGTAAGTTTATGTAGTGGAAGCATCATTATTCTTTCCTTTGTCACCCTTTCTCAGCATAATCTCCTTGCCCTATCCTTGGAATTATTGATAGCTGCGATAGTTTTGCCATTTTTCACGCTGAACTGCGTCCATCATTTGATGTGCATCTGTGCAAATCTGCCCCATTATGCTGTTGCTGTGACAGTCACCTGTTTTGGGATAGCGTTATTGCTGGACTCTGGCGTTCCTTCGTTCCAGTCACGGATCTTCGTTCAAGTTTAATAGCTTTGTTGTTCTCGTCGATTTTTTTTGGATATACCTTCAGAGTTTTTCTCTCATTTTAGTGAATGTTCGCAAACATCATGATAGTTGTTGTTATTGAGGTTCATACCATTCTATAAATGAGGTTTGTGTCTGATTAGTGCCACATTTTTAATCCTCTTTAAGGTCTTCACGTTTGTTGTTGGAACATCCAAGCCAGTAATTTGCTATCAGCTTCATTGCCCTCCTAACCAAAGATTTCGACTCCAAACGTCAAAGCCAATTTGTTCAATTTGGACTTAAATATCATACTACAACAAGTGGAGGGTGCGCTGAAAGACGAGATAGCGGTGT